GCGTATACAGTCCTCCTGCGGAACCTGTCACCACAAGAGCAGCAGAGCATCAGAACGTATCGGAGTTATGGAAACTCCGCGGAACTCGCATGGCATCATCTCAAATGCCTCTACCAAGCAAACGACAGCGTGACACAAAGCAGACTCATGCAACAGCTGACAACAATACAGATGAAGACCGGGGAAAAGGCGATGCAGTATATGAGTCGCTGCCAGACCCTGCGCGACCGCCTGCTTCGGTGCGGAGGAACGATCACTGAAGAAATCTTCGTCACACTTGTCCTCGCCGGGCTCGGACCAGAATGGAGAACCACACGATCGCTTCTTCGCGCCCACGGAAGGATCTCGGAGATGCACCTCTGCGCCGAGCTTCACGCTGAACAACAGGAGATGGATCTGTTCGAGGAAAGACAACCAAGGAAGCAACAGCAGTTAGTCTTCTACACTCAAAGAAGAAATGACATAAACTACAACCGACGCAGCAAGCAAGATCAACGCGACAACCGAGGACTCACCATCGTGCCGCCGTTCTGCCACAACTGCCAGACTTCCGGACACTCCAAAGTCAACTGCAACCGCCCTCGCGTTTACCGAGCAGCAGACCCACAAGTTACTTCCACTCAAGCAAGTTCCCCAAGGCGCTCTTCAACATCTGCACAAGGGACACCAAATATCATCAACTGCATGGTACACATCGACAACTGCGCACCCAGATCACCACCCACTTACGCACCAGACGAAGAGGAATTCCCGCCGCCGCGCTCACAAGGACTTCAGGTCAACCCGACATACGCTGCGGTCGCCAACGCCGAACCCACCGGGCGAAACACCTGGTTCTTGGACAGCTGCTGCGGTCAACACATGTGCTCCTCGGGACGCTTCGTGCAACAGGAGAAACGACTCAACCGCGACGTCGTCATCACCGTCGCCAACAACGAAAACCTGAAGACAAACAGACAGGGCGTGGTTCAGTTACAATCAATGGAGACGAATGTCATACTTCAACTCAACAAGGTGCTCATTGTCGACAATCTGGGATACAACCTACTAAGCGTAAGCCAACTAATGGCCAAGGGGATTCACCTGGAGTGCGACTCTTACTCCAACGAGTTCCGGCTTTACCACGGGAAGGGCGGCCTCTTCATCGGTCGTGCCCTCCTGAAGTCCGGTGTCTTCGTGTTGGACTTCGTCCCCGACCGCGGAACTGCCGACAGCGATGGCATCGTATCGTTCGCCGCCTGGACTCACCCGCCGGATCTTGACCCCGACTTCGACAGTGACGGCTTCTGGCACTCCAACACCATACCTGCAGCAGAGAGAACACGAGCATTAGCAGTTATCAGACAAGAAAGACAAGTACCCGCAAGTGTCCCAACAAAACCATCACCTGCAGTATCGGCAGCAAGACCCAGCCGAGTACCACCACCATCAACACGAGGACCGCCAACGGAAGCAGACCAACTTATGCCCGCCACACGAGAAGCTTGTCGAAGTCCCGCCTCAGTCGTCGCGTTCTTCTCCAACGCCGACATCTACCACCGCTCGCCCGGCCACCGCGCTCCCGACGACATCTGGCACCAACGTCTCGGACATCCTGCAAACAGCACGATACTTCAAACAATCCAAGCAGAGGTGTTAGAACGCAACGCCCTTCTGACGACGAACGGCCAGGAACTCCGACGACCACGCGCACGGTGTTTCACATGCCCCGAAGCAGATCTTCCTCATCAACCTTTCCAAGCCCATCACAATCCAAGCGCACCCACTTACGCTCCGATGGAAAAGGTCTACAGCGATATTCTAAACATGCCTCGAGACGACACCGAAGCTGACTTCAACTACGTCATCACGTTCATCGACGCCGCAACCAGATACGTCTGGCACTTCAATCTCAAAACGCGCGATCAAGCCTTCGAGGCCTTCACCACATGGCTTCCAATCGCCGAACGAGAGTCAGGAACCAAACTCAAGAGTTTCCAGTCCGACGGTGCACTGGAATACCAGTCACAACGCTTCAGGACCTATCTCGCGGAAAGGGGAATCCGACGCCTGGTGTCTCTGCCCTATGCTCACCAGCAGCAGGGGGTAGCAGAACGCATGAACCGGACCTTGCAGACGACGATGCGAAAACTGCTTCTGGGGATGAGGCTGCCCAACGCACTGTGGCCAGACGCGATGACACATGCTGTCCACCTGCACAACCTGCTGTCCTCGTCATCACTTCCCAACAACGCATCACCGCACCTGTTGTGGACAAGAAAAAGGGGCAGCACAAAATTACTCCGCGTTTTCGGCTGCATGGTACAGTACAGACCCCACACAGCCCGAGCAGGACGCTTCTCACAAAGAGCTCGATGGGGACTACACCTCGGCATCGCAAAACATTTTCACGCGTGGAAAATTCTCGACATACAAGACAAAAACACGGTGGCATCACGAGATGTTATCTTCTACGAACGACTGACGCTGCAGCATTACCTGGACAACCTTGCCAACACACAAGACCCCACCGACGGCTTCGCGGGCCTTCGCTCCTTCGCTGACCATACTGCCGAGGCTGACGCAGCAGAAGAAGACGTACCTGGAGCCTCGGAAGCTGCCGGACCACTCCCATTCTGTTCCGTACCTGTTCCACTCGATGAAGATAATCCCCTCGATAGCAACAACCTCGACACCTTTTACCACTTCGCCGACCAAGGTTACGCTACACCTCACCCCGTCGACACGAATATTTCGGAACGCATCGGCCCCAATTTCTTACCTGACCCCGAAGACGGTGACGAAGCAGCTTATTCCGGGAATGAAAAATTCCCCTCGACACACGCCCACGGGACTCCAGATTCTAGGCCTCTGGGTCTCCGTCCAGAATCCGCCGCCGCCTTCTCCGCGAGAGCCTTCAACGTTGTCGCAGGCTCTGGGGGGGGAACATAAGGCAAGATGGAAGGAAGCAATGGAAAAGGAGTTAAAAGCTCTGCAAGACCGAGAAACATGGAAACTGGTACCTGCAACGAGCATCAACGGAAAAAACGTTCTCTCGGGAAATGGGTGTACCGCATCAAGACCAACTCAGACGGTTCCATCGAACGATTCAAAGCTCGATGGGTCGTACGAGGCTTCGATCAACGATACGGAGCCGACTACACAGAAACCTTCGCTCCAGTCTCCCGTCACACCTCATTACGCATCCTACTCGCCGTCGCGGCCACGAAAAAACTGCCACTACGCCAAATCGATGTCGCGAATGCATTCCTATACGCACCTGTGGACGCTGAGATCTTCGTCGAACAACCCCACGGATTCATCAACGATCCCACGAAAATATGCCGACTGACAAAATCCCTATACGGGATCAAGCAAGCCCCGCGGCTCTGGCAGCAGCATCTCCACGGCCGTCTCGCAAAGATCGGCTTCCTACAAATACCGCATGACCAAGGGATGTACCGACTGCAGAAGGGAAGAGATTATGTTCTGCTCATCGTCTACGTCGACGACCTGCTCTACATCGGCTCCACTATCGACATCGCCACCTGGTTCGAAGGGGAGCTGAAAGAAGATTTAACTCTCACGGTGTCCGACGAAGTTACTCAGTACCTAGGACTGAACATCGTCGAAGACGACACGGCGTTCTACCTACACGCTGGAAAGTACTCAAGCACCGTCGCGAAGAAATTCGGTCTAGCACCGACTGCGGTCCCAACTCCCTACCGCTACGGGAACAACAGTAGCGCCTCCACAAAACTCCCCGCGAAACAAATCCAGGAGTATCAACAGAAGCTCGGCTGCCTACTATTCGCAGCAGTAACCTGCCGACCCGACCTATCCTATAGTGCGAGTCAGCTGGCGACACATCTGAAGCAGCCGCAACAGGAAGATCTCGAAGAACTCAATCGAGCGCTACTCTACTTCGTCTCCACGCCGACGATCGGGCTCACCTACAGCAAGGCAACAACACCGTCCGTACGACTACTCGGATACGTCGACGCCGACCACGCGGGAGACAGCGAAAATCGACGGTCTAGGACGGGCTACATCTACCGACTAGAACCTATCGGAACTATCTCCTGGCAGTCGAGCAAACATGGAGTTAATCGCACTATCCTCAGCCGAAGCAGAGTATGTCGCCCTTTGTACTGCAACCAAGGAAGGACTCTACCTGCGGGAGTTACTCGAGGAAGCGAAGATCGCGACCCTACCCGCCTTCTCACTCCTCTGCGACAACCAATCTGCGATCAAAATCGCGAACAAGGATGGCTTCGCCAACCGAACCAAGCACATCGCCCTACGGTACTTCTTCGTCAAGGATGAAATCGCGAAGGGGAGACTTCAACTCAGTTACTGCCCGACGACAGAAATGGCCGCAGACTATTTGACGAAGAAATTGGCGAAGACAAAATTCGACCACTGCATGCTGTTGACCGGGCAGACAAACGTCACCGGATCTGAACAAGTCAGCACTCCAGAAACGAAGGGGAGTGTTGAAAGTACTCAAAAGACTTGAGCGTTTCTGAAGTGTAACACTACACTCGAGGAAGACTACAGGGGTACGCGAGTCAACGGAGGTTACACGAGGGGGCGGACAAAGAACACGAAGGGTCTGGACTCAAAGGGTCGCAACTGGAGGTTGCGACTGACCGTTACAACAGCGCGGATGGTAACCGAAGCGACAATCGAGTCGCTGTGCGACTCGATAAACCGCTACTGCAACTGTACTCTACAACTGTTTTCTTATCTTCTATATATTGCTGTATGCTTGTCTCTTTAATCAATCACTTGTTCTCACATACTAGTACAAGGGTTCAACTGCCTCAACTTCCGCTGCACTACTCAAGTCTCAAAGTCTCTACAGCTGGGACTTAGTCTCTGCAAAAGATCCTAAGGGCTTTTCTCAGCCCAACAGGACTCTTATGGCCTCCTTTAGTCACCTGTGACGAATTACATCCTAGGTGAACTGTGAAATTTCAAAGGCCAGCGAACTTCACAGAGATGAAGTAATCTGAAGTAATGATCTCATCAGCACCCAAGTCCATCATTAGCATGAAAAAGGTCCAAAACAAAACATATTCACACACCATCATGCACGTCCCCATAAAACTTCAGTCTAGTCCTCCTTGGGCACAGTCTTCAGGCTGCCAGCACCACCACTCCCAGCACTCAGTGGCATGTCCCCACCTTCCTCTGTTGTCTTCCCCTCCACGCCTTCACTCGCTATGGCTGCTGCGCCCCTTGACAGCTCTGGACCTGTCTTCGCCTGTGCCCCTCTTCCAGGGCCCTTCACTGTGCTCTCATGTGTCTTCCTTGTTCCCGCACTCCTCTCCTCGCTGCTGATGCTCAGCGGTACTCCCATCTGCACGTTCTTGTCTGCTGCCGACTGCAGCGTAGCAGCTGGCCCGCCTGGGAGCGTCTGAAAGGGACAATGAATGAGGGGAAAATGCCGCATATAATCTGCAACATATGGGCATGCTGAGCATCTCAACTGTCTCCAGAGGCCAGTCATGAAACTTCCAAGCTGAACATGCAGCTTGTGGAAGGGTCAGTGGGTGCTGAATTCTGATACACACAGAAGAAACAGTGAAATGACACAGGTACAAATCCACACCACGGAAGCACACGCGACTGATGAGGAAATCACCATGTACGGAACACACACAAAACCAGAATATTCTGGGCGTGGCTGCTATCACCCACCTTGCCGTGCTTGGCGGTCTCTGCCATCTGCTGGTACGCCGCATCCTTCTTTGTCACGGGCCGATCCTCCGCTGCAAGCTGCTCTCGCTTCGCCGCTTTAGAAGCCACGTCGGCCATCGTGATCGGGGAAGGCGTCTCTCCTTCCGCCTTGAGCTCACGCGCCTGCTGCTGCGCCATGGCAGTCGGTCTCGAATCAGTCTAGTCTGGAATCACAGGAATGTGGGAAAGTGGAGATTACTAGTCGCCGAGATTCACTTCGGTGGGACCAGAACAGGATGCGTTCTACGAGTTGTGGGCTGCTTCGGTTGGACGGAGCAAGAAATCGAAAGAACTTGGATAAAGCCAAACGACTGCTCAGGGAGAAGTGCTACGGAAGCAGCGTGCCGTTGAGAATGAGAGTGTGGCAAACAGCTCTCGAGTGAGGGAGAGCGCGCAGGGTCGGATTTCTCTCATCCCCCATGGTGCCGTGAAATGGGGCCGCAATGATCTTCCATGTTCCAGCTTAGTGCAATTGACAGCTCATGCACAGGCGCCACGTGGCGGCCCATGAACGCCATGTGAATGGCGTTGATCGAGCGAGTTCATGGCACAGTCGCCGGATTACAGCGTCGTATATCGGCTTCCTGCTTGCTACTGGGATAGGAGCCTCGTCCGCTCTCGCACATGGACAGGAAGGTGTTTGTCTGGGGTAAAAGTCGTCGCTCCCTCGCATGATGGAAGGTGCGAGACTGTCCCACGCACCTGTCCGCTTGGGGCTGGCATGCAAGCACGACTCTCCTTTATGGAAGCCTGGTCAGGCCGACACATGGATTGTCTCCGTACTCGAAGCATAATGATTCAGTTTTGATATCGAACAGTGCCTTCTTTATGGATTCACAAAATGGCATAAAATGAAGCACGCGGCACATTGCGTCCGTCTCAGAGGATCGCGGCAGAAATATCGGGGTATTTTTTCTGCGATATTGTTTCTGACGCATTAGAAACGGTCATCAATAACGGACTTGGACGCGATATGAGGGCACGGCACATTGCGTCCGTTTCGGAGGATCATTGTTGAAATATCGCAATTATAGTTATTTGCAATATCATTTCAGACATATTGAAACCGATCCTGATATCGGAATTGTATGCAACAGAGGGAAGTTCCAGATTTGCAACTTTCAGCACGGAGGAATCGCTTAACAGTGTGACCAGGCCCCATAATTATCAGGCTATTTATACAGATTATCTTAGAGTAGCAGTATTAGTACAAATATGTTTGATACACCCCCTAGACTGGACAAGGGGCAGTGCCAGGCAAGAGACAAGCAACTCAGGGTGGCACTACTAGTTCAACTTATGAGACAAGGGCCCGAAGACCAGTCAACAAGAGTACAAACTCGACAAGAGCAAACCAGGGCGGCACTACTAGTCCAACCACTGGAAGAGAAGCCACAAGGCCAGTAAACAATGTAAATATAAAGAGGAGTACACACTCAAGGTCATAGCAAGTGAGGAGCTCCATGAACTAGACCAACCTGTACACAGTGCCGCTGATGATTTTTAGGCACAAGCACCTTAGTAAAGATATCAGCTGTGTTGGCACCGGAGGCCAAGAGTACTACGCAGGCCTGGCGGCGCTGCTGTACCTCGCGCAGGAGGAAGTACAGCAGCTGGATGTTCTTTGCTCCTGCCCTCGAGTTGAGGCTCCTGACACAAGAGGATCATGGCCCTGTTGTCAGCGTACAGGACGGACAGAGCTAGGCCGCCCACCTAAGTCGATGAGCAAGATGGTCAGTCAGCGGAGCTACTGTGCCGCCATGGCACCGGCGTAGATCTCAGCCTCTCAGCTAGACTGGGCAACAGACGACAAACAGATGGACCTCCACGAGATGGCACCTGAACCAAGGTTAAAGAAATAGCTCTCGGAGGACCTGAATGTCTCAGCGTCGTCTGCCCACAAAGCGTCTGTGTGCCTAGTAAGGACCACCGGCCTGCGTCCTCCTAGCACAAGTCCCATGCCCAATGTACTTGCTAGATAACACAAAACCCTCTTAGCTACCGACCAGTGCTATGGTCGGTGTCTCCCTGTGGCCACAAAGCGAGCTAGGATGCTGAGAGGGTATGCGAGATCTGGACGAGTGCAGTTCATCAGGTACATGAGGCAACCCACCAGCTCTGTATAAGGACCACTAGGCTCAAGAACTAGAGCAAAGAGTCTGTGATCTACACGCAGAGGTGTGGGCTGTGCAGAGGAGAACTGAAGACCGAACCTCTGAAGGACCTGGCACACCAAGTGAGATTGTGAGAGAGTGATGGTGCACGCTGCTCTATCCTTGGAGATCTGTAAGCCAAGGTAGCGGTGCAGCTCTCCTATATTAGTGCAGGTGTGTTTTCTCAGTAGCTCAGCCATCACAGAATCAAGTGCATCTCTGTCTGTATTAGCAAAGACCAGGTCATCTATGTCGACAAGGATATAGAACGGGGTATGGCCAGAACGAACGAAGAGCGAGGGGTCTGCAGACGACAAGAAGAACTATAGGTCAGCTAGCATAGCACGCAGCGTATCGTGCCACTAACGGGGCACCTGCCGCAGGCTGTAGACCGGGCGCCAGAGGAGCCATTCGGTCCTAGAAGGGAAGGTACTAGTGAAGCCGTGTGGACGGCGCAGGTAGACCTGCTCATGTAGACTGCCCTGAAGAAACGCACTGGAGAAGTTAAGAGAATGTAGCTTGTAGTCACACTGTGCTGCTACGTGTAGCAGCGCCCGAAGAGTAGTCATCCTTGGGGTCGGGGCGAAGGTCTGAAAGAAGTCCACACCCTCGCGCTGTCTGAAGCCTCTAGCCACGTAGCGCCCCTTGAACACATGCGGCTCTCCAGGGGGGTGCTTCACCTTGATAAGCCACCAGCCATCGACTACGTTCACCCCAGGTGGGGGAACTGTGTTGACGAAGGTGCCGGTGGATCTCCAATATGCCATCTCCTGTTCCATGGCAGCTATCAACAGAGAAGCCCAGTGTCCCGAGGATGCCTCAGCGTAAGTGCGAGGGGTTGGGATGTCAAAGGCGTCTTGGTCAATCTCAGGGACTAGCAGCATGGGACAGAGATGGGGAGCGGCCTCGAACAGAAAAGCGAGCTCATATTGTCTGTCATCTAGGATGTCACTACCAAGGGGAGGAGCACCCCTGACGGATGGAGGGCAGGTAGGGCCAGAGACTAGAGCTGTGGCGTAGTCAAGGCGACAGGTGGGGGCGAAGTCAGCAACAGCAGCGACAAGAGCGTCAACACTGTAGACAGGAACAGACGGGTCGGTAACGAGGGAGGCAAGGACCCAAGGAACAAGAGGACAAGCGGCACGAAGGTAGTCAGAGAGAAAGAGGTGGAGCGACAACGAGCGACGATGGAGGAGGCGAGGGATGGAAAGGAGGTCGAGACACGTGGGAACGAAGCAACATTGGGTGAGAGTGCTGAACAGAGACAGGGCGGGCACGAGCTGGACGGCGAGACCAGAAGTGGGACGGAGGCGTCGGATCAGGAGTCACGAGAGGAGTAACATGAGGAGAACAAAGGGGAAAACGAGTCGGGGACGAGTCCGACGGAGGAAACACAGCGCCGTAGACAGGCAGTGGAGTCGGCGATGGGGGAGGCGCAGGCGGGTGGTCAAGGGAGGGAAGGCCGAGTAGGCGAAGGGCGGACACCGGTGGTGACTGCTGCTGCTGCTGCTCCACGCCGACACCAGAACCTACAGCTACACCACGGCTACCTCCGGAATGCTCCACTCTAGCACCTCTAGAACGATAATCCTCTGCAATACTGGTGCCACCCCTGAGACCCCCAAGACAAGCCACAACAGAAACTTCAGGACTAGCACCCCTAGTGCTTGTGGACGGCTGCTGCCGCTGCGGCGGCGGCGGCGGCTGCTGCTGCGGCTGCGACGACGGCTGCGACTGCTGCTGCGTTGGCGACAACGGCGGCTGCTGCGACGGCGGAGGAGAAGACACTAGTGGAGAAAAAGGCGGCGAGAATTGCGCCGCGGGGTCTCCAGAGTCAGCCGACTCCTCGACCTGGAAACTCGACGATAGGGGAGTGATGTGAGACACACCAGACGGAGCAGGACGGGGAGGGAGGGGAGCAGGGGCTACCGGGAGAGTGGGAACCAGAAACAGGGGCAGCGAAACCGGGAGACCTCGGTGGGGAAAGCGGTGATAGAAAGAGACGGACTCGTCGAAAGTGACGTCACGTAAGTGAAAGAAGCGGTGAGACGGCGCGTGGAAAAGTGCCAGCTAGACGAGTCAAGGGGGAAACCAAGGAACACATAGGGGACAGTGCGGGCAGTGCGCTTGTCCATGCCAAAGGCACGAACGTGAGCAAGGCAACCCTAGACGTGAAACGCAGACGCGTCACCAGGTAACCCGGTCCTGAGAAGGGTCGGCGAAACCTGCGGACGGTAGGAGTGTGGCCACAGGTTAAGCTGGTGAGCGACGTAGCGAACAGCGAACGACCACCAAAAATGGGGTGCACCGGCATGGATCATGGAGGTACGAGCCACCTCCATGACCAAACCGATGCGTCGCTCAGCGACCCCATACTGCTGCGGGGAGTTTGGCATGGTGTACGACTGCGTGATGCCCTCCGCACGACAGTACTGTCCAAGCCGACCGTAGGCGAACTTGCCACCACGGTCAGAGTGGAGATACAGCACAGGGAGACTGCGGTGGACGCATGCAGCTACAACCCATGGGATGATAATAACGTCAGGCACGTCGGCCTTCCGCTCCACGGGAAACACCATGATGTAGCGCGTGTAGTCGACGACAAGCACTAGAAAGTAGCGCTCTCGACACGGCCCATGGACTTGGGCTGGGCCCCAGACGTCTCGGTGCAAGGTCTGGAGTGGCGTGGTGGTAGGGCGAAGCGAGGAGGAGTGAGGAGCATGATGCAGCCGGCCCTTAACGCAGGCGTGCACGGCGGCGCAGGCGAGGGAGGGAGGCAGGGAGCGACGTAGGAAGACCTAGGACGAGACCGTGCTGAGACATGTGATGCAGACGCGGGAGTGCGGGGTGGCTTAGGCGGTGGTGGCATAGAAGCGACGGGTGAGTGAGCGACCGACACGAGCAAGCCACAGCGACCTGGGTAGGCATAGGACCCAGGGAGGACGCGCCAACTGGGGTGGAAGCCGTGTCCAGCGTAAACTAGCCAGACTCCACGTCCTGGGGTAACATCGCAAGGGGGAACCTGAGGCGGCCTCAGTGTAGACAGCGTACCGCTCGTGACCAGGGAACCTAGTGGTGACGCCGAGGTCCTGAAGACAGCCGACACCAACTAGGTTCCTAGAGAACGAAGGGACGTGCTGGCTTGTAAGTGAACCCGAGGGAACCACTAGATAGAGAAGGGTAGCAGACCGGAGGGGGGGTCAGCAAGTGCGACAGCGGAAGGCGCTGCAAGCGACGTCAGCGCAGTGTGGTCGCAGAAGAAGCAGGCAGACACTCCATAGTCAAGCGTAAAGGAGAGCAAAGCGGAAGCTGCCGCAGGTGGAGGAGCAAGCGTGGAGCCTAGAATATACAAGGCACAAGGTCCTACACCTGACGTAGCAGGGGATTCTGTACTACACACAGAAAACACACCTTAACTAGGCAATACAGGGTAATAAGATCCGGGCACACTAGAAGCGTTAGCATACA